CAGTCTATCACTAATTTAGATGTATTTAAGGTTAAAATAAAACAGCATTTTTTAAGGGTATTTTTGGAAAACTAAGTTTTAGATATTTGACATTGTAAATTAAGCTGAAAAGCCTTTTTGAGGAGATTAATCAAGTTATTATTATTATTACTATTACTGTTGCTTAAGGTAGCATCTATTTTTGTCTCTGTTATGAGGAGTATTATTATTATTATGTCAAATCTCCCAGACATTGGCCAACTTCTAATTTCATAGAATTTAAAGCCAGCAGTACTATTTGCGTTAATGTGCCCTATCTTGGTATTAGGTCAATGTTGCTTGCCACTGCATCAAAAGAAGACCAAATATCCAACTGCGTATCGCGTTCTTTGTTTATATCAACCGAGCTGCCACTTGTGTCAAAATTGCTCACATCTTCAAACGGTAGCTGTTTTAGTTGATACAAGCAGTCAAGACATGTCCAGGTCCAGGTGTTGGTAGTAGATTGCGGGGACCCTCGCAAACGAACAGCTGATAAAGCCCCGAGGTGTCCCCTTATGGAGTCTGTGTACATCCACCCCCTCCCTTCAAACAAACTTGGGGAGACACGCTTAAGTTTTTATCCTGGGAGATTACGTCACGGTATCAACATGACAGCTAATCAGAGGATTTCCCTGACAATCCGGGGAAACCAGAAGTTGATTAACGACGGACATAGACGTCTCTCTTGCCTATTTTGCTTTAGACTACGAGCAGTCTCTCTTTTTTTCTTAGTCCATTCATCGAAACTCGCGAGACAGTAGAAAGACCGAGCGCGAGACTGAACACGCGAGACGGGCTTGACGCTCGCGCGCGCGTGCACTCCTCTCACGAAAACTGAAGAACAAGAGAGACTGCTCGCAGTCTAATTTTGTTTGCGAGGAGAGGGCGGTTGTACACAGGCTAAAAGAGCTTCAAGCTATCTTTTGAAATGGAAACAGTTATTTAGCTGTAGCTGGGCACAGGCGCTCTCCCGAGGACTAACTTCTTAAATGACTTTAACCTTTTCTTACGTATAGAAACAGAAATGGTAATCACTTCTACTGAAATATGAAGAACATTTATTCTAGCTGATTTGAATTCCATTACTTTTTTACTTTTCCGTTGAAAAACATGCTAAATTTTAAAAAGTCTCAGAGCTAAACGTTTTGAAAATGAACATAATGAAACTTGACTTGCATTCGTTCGCCTAATCGCCTTCAGTCTGTTGCCTTGCACGTGACATTTTAACTCTTGACACGTGACAAATGGCACGCAATCGAAGCGCCTTGCTTGTCGACAGTGACGATTTCTTCGATATGTTAGGAATGCTTGCATAGCCAAGTTCGGTGGTTTTTTAACTGGACTACATATTATAAATATTTTTGAATCAATACTGAAACAATCTACTAACATGAAGAGAGAAAGCTAAACTGGTGCGAATTCAACACAGAACATTATGTGATAACCGTAACATGTGAACCGTGCTGCGAGTTGAATCGCGGGTTTGTAAACAAAAGCGATAATTGTAAGCGAAACTAAACATCGCAAAACTGACAGCTTATGGTTGCTGCAAAAAATGTTTTTTTTAAACACCTGTAGCGATGATAAAGGAAAAAGAAAATTTATTATCTCATAAGCGGCATTTTTGTTTGGGTTCCTTTCAATTGATTGGGAAAAGCATTTTTTCACGTGCGCGTGGTTATCTCTATAAAGCAGTTTGATTTAGACAACTTGTTGATCTTCCTATACTCTCCTGCCTTTGTCAGGCTTTCGCAATGTCTAGCGATATTAAAAACGACCTTTTAAATCTCCAAAAATATTTGATAGTTGGTGAAACAAGTTCATCATCAACAAAAGTCGCAAAAGAAATGCAAAACAAATATCGGAAAAAAAAATCAGTAACTGTTGCCCTGCACAACAAACGAGTAATTTATAGACAGTGCTGCACTTTAAGTTAAACTAGCTAACTGCTTTTGTCAATGACAATTTTGATATATTAATTTATTAATATAATTTGGCGCCTAAAAATTTCCCCTGGCGACTAAACCCAAAGAGCTGATCGCCAAATGGCCACTGAACAAAAATTTTAACTTTGAGGGTTGCATTTGAACTCGTTGTTGCAGCTCCAAAAATAGCACTAAGTTCAATTTTCCACTGGCTTTTTGGGATATTAGGAGATCTGTAGATGCCGACGATAGCAAACCAAGATTTATTTATTTTGACTTTCAATAACATGGATTCGGTACGAAAACTTGACATGTCTATATTGAAACGTGTAACGACATGAAAACAGATGTCATTCCTCATGAGGATCATCAGCCCACCACCATGAGCATTTCTATCGACACGATACATACGAAGTCCTTCCACATTAAACTGACTGTTACACATGGCAGTGGTGAAAGATGCTCTACCTGTCATCCTCCCGATTTTGACCGAGATCATAAACAGTTCACTTTTGACATCTGTATTTCCCTCACCATGGAAAGAATCTGAAATTGTTCCAATTCTAAAGGATGGTGGAGATCCGGAAGTAGCCAACGGGAATAGACCTGTGTCGTTGTTACCTGCCCTATCTAAGATATGTGAACGAGTAGCCTTAAATCAATTCACCGAATATGCAATAAGGAGAAACTGTCTCAGTGGACACCAGAGTGGGAATAAGAAACGACATTCGACAGAGACACTCAATATTTTGATGTCAGATCTAGCCTTGGAGGCAATGGACCGCAAGCAAGTCACTGCCTTGGT